GGAGCAATAATTCTTGTCTGAATCTTAAGAAGATCAATGGAAGGAAGCTTAGAATTAGGTATGCTAATGAAAGTGAGCATTTTTGCTCTGGTTCAAGCTCTTGTATACCTCATACTCACAAAATCTTCGAGCCTTTTCTCTGAGTCAAAGACGATGAGTAGAGCTTACAGTTTTCGGTCAGCGAGATCCATCAGCATAAGCCGGATTCTGGCTGTTCTTCAGGACATGCCTGCAGGCGGCGAGATGTCCCCTTCTTCCATGGGATTTTCTTCTCTTGTTTCTCCTTCATTATCATCATCTTAAAGCTTATAATTATATGAAATCATATGATTTACGTAGATGAAGTTAGATAATGTTCAAATTCATTTATTTATAAACTTTATTTGTGATATCATGGCCAAAAATGATTAAGGAACTTGTATATGTAGTTATGTACTCTCATATGTTCATAACAATATCTCTTCAAATCAAATATTCTTTTTTGTATGCTATCTTCAAAACAGAGGAATTGTTTTACTTACAAGGTTTCGAAGCAACTAAATAATACTTTTTGCTTCATCATCAGCACTGAATCAAAGAAAGAGAATTGTTAGGGTGAACAAAAACCAATACGCATCAACAAACAAAAAAATCAAGATTCAGAACATTTTTTTTTTTGGTCACAACCAAGATTCAGAACATTTATGAGAAGGATGTTTAGCAAAAAAAAAAAATCATTTATGCGAAGGAACTTCCACTGATTTTAGCTATATAAACTTAGATTGTTTAAAATAATTGGGCCTCTTGAAGCCCAAATGCTAGTCAGTGATTTTCACAGAAAAATTGATTTGCAAAATCATATAACTTTTTGAAAACATGCATTATGCATAGGAATACGTTTGATGGAAAATATGTAACGAAATGATGTAACGTTAACTTTTTCCCCATCAATTAAATTCGCAAATTCGATAAAGTCTACTATAACTCTATAAATATGAGTTACAAAGTTTCTCTGAAGAAATTCACCATGAAAAAGACGAAGCACAAAGCGTTTTTTTATGGTCAAGTTCACAATAATTTTTTTTTTTTTGGGATAATGTTTTGTCTCTATCTTCACATGGAAACTAAAATAATTACTATATTTATTTAAGAGTGAATGAAGAAGAAAACGACGTGAGACCTTACTTAAACAAGAGAAAGAAAACGTCAGCATTTTAGTTGAGCTTTGTCACCATATATATATTATGCATATCTTTTGGAACGATGAAGATACTTAACGTATTAAATCGTATAAGAAATAAACTGACTGGAATTATATAGCGGGAAGAAAAGTGTGCATTTTTTTCTGAT